TGTTTTGAATGAATGATATTCCTTGGCTAAGGGTTTGGTCCCCATAGATTAAGGTCATTAAGCTTGGCAACAAAACATAAAAGAATAATGACATTATTTTACTTAAAATCTCCCCAATGTAATCAGAATCATCTATTAACACTGTCTTTCCTAGTTCATTTTCCAACAGAGGTCCTACAAATAAGTAGTACTAATGACCTGAAATGTTAGTTTTATACCTGTTAAGTACAGTAATGATGAAATGGCCAAGAAGGGTTAGAGAAGGAGGTTCTGGAAAACCCTATGACACTAATCCAAAATTGCACTTGAGCATATGAATAGATGTGTCTTCATGAGGGTCCATTGAAAGTATGGGTAGATGAGTTATGAGCAATTCTAAAGCAGAAAGTAATCATGAGAATTCTTTGAAAAATTGACATTGAAAACCAACAGTGTATACTATGTCATAGAGGAAAGGACTCTTGAAACTGGATAACTACACTGCTATTATCTACATCCTAAACCATACAGTTTTCACAAATAAAATGATATGCCCGGTGTATGTGTGTATATGTAAATAGTATTTATAGGAATACAAAATTTAGTTGGGAAACATAAAACAACATGAGGATTTTCACATAAATCCCTCACACCAAAAGAACTAAGTGGCCTTAAGAAACAGAAGTTATTTCCATGGTAGGAGAATATGAAAGTCCTGTTACCTCTTTTGTTCCTCCCATCGGGCTTCATCAGGAAGCATTCCTGATTTCTCTTTCTCATTAACATGTATCCCAATGAACTTACTCATGTAAACACAGTGTGGTTTTCTTTTAAAATAAGCCTTTACTGAATATATCAACAAGGTACTGTATAGTGTAGAGTGAAGTTTTTAGTTAACAAAGTGTGCAACATGGTAGGTCTCAGAGGATGTGTGATGCAGAATCTTTCAGCCCCTTGCAGTCCCTTGTCAGAACACACTAAACACAAACCAGAAGCAAATCAACATATGGTTCAAACAATAACGAATCATCAAGATTAACTTGCAGTGAATATAACATTGGTCCTGGGGGCGACATGCAGTGGCGATGCCTCACCTTGCCTTAATTGCTAACAAATCTTACATCCATGGACACTTTTGCAAATGCCCTTAGGTATATTTGTGTGCACACATGTGGCTGATTTGTACTAATTAAAATGCCTATTTTAATGGCCTTACTTTGTGCTCTTCTAGTGAGTGTGCAGCTATGAAAACAAAAACTACAGAAAAAGAATCTGGTTTGTTAACAATATTGTCAGTATTGTATACATATAAAACTCTCCCCCCACCATCAGTGAAAAGCATCCCCACTGCCAACAATTGTCTTTCAAACCTTTTGAAGATACTGGAAAAGGATATAAGCTAGAGCTTCCTATCATCAGTATTTTAACATAAAAACAAGTATCAGGTGAGATTTGAAAAGACCAAGAACTGGGAATTGTGTTTTGTGACTGTATCATGTTCCCTACCGGACACACTTTTATCCTTTGCTTTCCTATGCTGGAAAGGAAAGTTATGAGCAAATGGGTTATTTTCATGTTGTAAAGTAAAATGTAATGTCTTCTTGTTATAGGTTAGAGGAAAATGCCATAAACAAAGACATCAAAGATAATTAACCACTTCACTGTCAAAGCTGCTCTGGACACTGCAGCTGAGGTTCGCTGGTCAGTGCAGCACCTGCTCCCTGCAGAGACAAAGGTGCCTTGTGTTTCCATTGGAGGCTTTGCTCTCATCTTCCCTAACGGAGAAGGAAGTCCTGACTATGCGAAATGACTAAGACCACTGTGATTCATACTAGTGTAGAACATGGAATTGTAATATTAGTTATTTCATTATGACCTTTTACCAGACTGATCACATTACACTTTCTATTGTAACCTCGGGGGAAAATGTCTAATATCATGTCAATAAACATCTGGATAATTAGAAATTCCATTATAGCTCACAAGGGAGACTGTTTCCCACTTTGTGCACACAGAACACAGTCAGAGGAACATCTTCCCATCTCTGCCTGTCATTTTCCCGGTGATGTGCGATGTGTTGGCCATGCATTTGATGTCTCCATGATCACACACACCTCCCCAGACAAGAGGGTATTAGTGATTATCCTGGATAAGAGTAACTCCCTATAATATCTGTGTGACTGTGGCTATGCCTTTTGCCTTTGGAATGTTGCCTATACACTGACAAAAGTCAAGAGTATCTCAATTGGTCAGATAGCAGCAGGTTCTTTATAAGCCAGTGAACATGGCTTTGTCCTATGACCTTGTCTTGCAATTTCAACTTTAACTCTTGACTAATCAGGTCAAAGCACATAATGATGACAGCAAGAGAAGCCCAAATACAGATCGGATGTATCTGCAAAACACATTCTCATGATTTAAAATGCCAGCCAAGGCATAATCCACAAGGGAGGGCTGTTCAGCAATTTTAATGAGATACATGTGACATTACAGATTCCACGATGTGCTTTCTATGCAGGTGTAGGTGAGAGCCCCAGGTATGTCATTACAAACAGAGCTCCTATTTTAATTGTAGCAATCTAGGTCATGCTGCACAAAAGATGAAAATAAAGGGTGTAACTAGGTTCCCTCTTTTGAGGAATACCTGTGAGGAGAGAAAATCTTACAGGCCATTCTAACCATTTCACATGACTGGATCTCCACAGTACCACTCGAACCCCAAATAATTCTGCAAATCTAACAAAATATTATAGCAAACTCTCCATTCTTGTTTTTCCTGGTCCAAAGCAAAGAACTTTCAACAGCTGATAATCCCACCAGGAGTTAAACATACAATACAAATATATGAGAATGATTAATTTGTGCCTAACAGAAATTAAAACCCTCAAAAGTCAAAGTACCACATTTGGACACAGTTTTATGTACACAGCCAAGGGGAAGAGGACAGTGGAAAGGAATTATCCATCTAAGGACACAAAGCCCATGTCACTGTCCTGACTTTCGATGGCTTTCTGCTACATTGACCGTCCCTGCAGATTGTCTTATTCTTTGCCTGTGTGGACCTAGCTTTAAAACAACAATAGCCCAAACCCTCTAGCTAACAGACTAAAATGGAAACCAGAGTCACTTTGGAATTAATTTAAATTAATTCAGAGCTAAGTTCAGCTCTGCTGACTGCAGTTTCAATTCTTGTGTCTACAACATTATAGTTTCAGTTATATTTTCTGCTTACTCTGAGGGATGAAGGAGATTAAAACATATAAGTTGGGGTATATTATTAAAGAAAATAAAGCTCTTATTATAAAGAAAAACTTGCATAGCATTTTATACCTAAACTTTTACAAAGAAGACATATCACAGTTTTATTTTGCTTAAAAAGAGAAAGCAAAATGCTTGTGGCGTTTACTTCATGAGTCACTAATATAATGGCCAGTTGTAAATGAAATGGGGAACATAGAGTGAAATTTCTAAATGTAATTTTGAAAAGAATTTTCCAAGGGTGTGTTTTTTAAAATAATGTCTGTGATCTATAGCCCTTCTACATCTAAGGGATGGCAAGGATTAGAGTAAATCACATACGCTTTTTGAGGATGAGCATTACTTCGAAAATACTTAGTATTAAACACAAACATCCCTCTCTTTTCTATGCCCTCTGTTTTCAGCCCTGCTCTGGCAAAATTAGGGGAAGCCTTAATGCTTTGACTTCTTTTTATCAGTGGTCCTGCTAATGTAAGAATCTGTAATAAAATCCAAAGTAGAGCAACATCCATGATCGAAAAAGAACAAATGGATTCAAATGTGGATTAGAGTCAAAAGTCAACCCAAGGTAAAAACCTGGTATTGCTTTTAAAAATACGCATTCTCTTATCTATCTTTGCTGTATCCTCATCAGCAGTGAAAATGAGTATGCATTTTAAAATGTCAAAGTATATATGAATATTTTGCGCAACCCAAACTGGTATCCATAATATTTTTGAAATATTGAGCAGAGGAGGAAAAAGCGAAGGTGGCATAAACAACTTAATTACAAAAATATACGCAAGATGATTGGAAGACAAGAATTTGGGAAGGGATACAGGTACTAAGCCAAGCTATTTCAACATGATACTAATGAAGTCCGTAGACACAGTATAACAGAACCACTCATCAGGAGTTCTATCTATAATTTTTTAACTAACAAGTCATTTTAATACTTTCCAAATGCTGTTGCTTTTGTTGATCTAAATATCATGTTGATATAGCCTCAATGAAACTACCCAAATAATTCTCATTATCAAAAATAATTCCATTCAATATAATTCTTCCAATTATTTTATTATCCTCTTCTAAAAAAAGTATTCTAGAATATATATCTGTTGAACGTGATTCAACCTGGAATATGATTTAAATAGTGACATGTTTTTAGGGAGTTTTCTTGCTAGGACTGTTCATACTTGTCCCTGAAGATGACTGAAATCATATTCAAGTCTCTAGCTTTGTTACCACACAGGACCAGAGAAGCATGAAGAGTGATTTTAAGTTCCCAATCAGAAAGCCAACTCCTGGGTTTTAAGATCTTTGCAAATCTCCTCTTGATTTTCCTGAATCTGTCAACTTGGTTTAATTTATCTCACGGGAACGCATCTCCTCTTTACGTTCTCTGCATTTCCTACACTGGATCAAACCAAGGTAACTACCTTCCTTCTTATATTATGCAGGTTTTTTTACTTGTCCTCCAGACCAGGAGGTATAGAAATAGCATGAAAATATCTGGGCCATTTTTTTTTTTTTTTTT